ACTGACCTTTCCTCCTGGGACATTCTATATATACCCACCATTCTCCCCACTACAATCAGTCCACAAACCCCCTTATAAATATTACGGGATAATTAAAAATAACAATAATTTGAATAAGCTTTACTAATTTTAGACAAGTATTTCAATATGCTAAACATTAATATTATGTTCAAACTTTTACATGACAAGAATATTACTAATGGATCCATTACGACAAGCAGTCTATTAATGAAAGTGGACATACTCGTTTCTTGTTGCTTATAAACGCCTGATGACGTTCGTAAATGACCGAAACAGTAGGAAAAAATAACATCTTAATAAATTAATTGATTTTATCGTCAATTTGAGTCTATCAGTTGTCTATTACAATTATAAAATTGTTGTGTTCGACGGACATATTTATATAGTAGAGAAATACTTATGTAACATGTACAGCCGTTGTTATGCAATAGGCGAATAAACGACGATATTATGCAACCGGTTTAGAGGAAACGGATCGGTAAACACATTCCCGCAGCAATGAATGAGCACAAAGGAATAGAAAAACCCGTCTCTAGGCAACGGCTCGCTAAGCACACAAAAATAAGTGTTATTTGCTGCTGGGTCGAATGCCTCCACCGTAGCCCTGCGAGTCGTAGGACGTGATGAATAGGGAACCCAGTGCCTGGGGGTATAACTGGACCACTCTGTTCCTGGGGGATATAAATACGGGCCCTGGCACTCCAGGTTGGGGGTTCGGGCGCGAAAATACCCCCAGGCCCAACATCGGGCTCTTGCGCCATAGAAGAAGAAGATGTCCCATTCATTACTTTTTTGCGGGAAATGGCGACGTGCTCGATATTGTTATGCATAAGAACGTCTGGCTGTCAGAAGTCATTGTCGCTGACATTCTGGACTCAGATAACCTACCAATCGTGTAAGATTTGAGGCTTTCACGGCGGTGACTATGAAGAAAGCAGTCTTCTGGGATTTGGCACCGTGTATATGTGGTGTTAACCGACGTTTCGGAGGAACGTATCGCCTCCATCTTCAGGGTAGAAGAAAAAATATATAAGAAATCTGCAAGCAAAGAGACCGTGAGAACTGGTAGAAGCAGACTGGTTTACCGGTTCTAACGGTCTATTCGCTTTGCAGATTTCTTATATTTTTTCTTCTACCCTGAAGATGGAGGCGATACGTTCCTCCGAAACGTCGGTTAACACCACATATACACGGTGCCAAATCCAAGAAGACTGCTTTCTTCAACCTACCAATCGTTTTCCATTTGCTGGGTCATATTAGAACTGGGAATCTTTCGGACCCGGTTGACAAATTCACATATTGGAAGCGGTTTCAAAGCTTGGCCTCTGAATTAATTTCACCTAGAATGCAAATTAACTCCGAGGAAGAAGCAGATATAGCGGAACGAGATTTCACTTCCTCTGTAGCTTCGGCCTACAGACTACCAACAAGCAAAACTATTTTCTCGGACCTTAAGAAGGATCTACCTGGTCCGGAGACTACTGTAACATACGTGTAAGCCGAGTTTGAGGAAACTGCGACAAGTAACCCGGGATCCAGCATGTACAACGGCGCTTAACTGGGTCGCCAAGACCATCTGACGTATGATCCGTAGAAAGGCACTCGAACGGTAGGAAACGAAAGAAGGGAACTGTGAGGTAACACCTCAAGCTGCATGGCCTATTGTAGAATCACTTATGAAAAGGATTGGACCTATGACACCAACCACACTTCATTGCCCTTTAGTAATAACATATCAAATGCAACTGCGGATTGTTTAGAAAACCAGTTCATATCTCATGACCTGTGAGACGAAAACCATGAGCGACAGGTGGAGAATAAGAGTCCATGCTCTACTCGCATCTGTAGATGACACTCCGCTAGGAAAAGTAAGACCTTGTGACACATATAAATTAGCCAATTCACTGAAAGTGAGAAAAGCTCGAGGACTTGGAGGCATTCCAAACGAATGTCCCAGGCATCTTCCAAGAAGACCACTGGAAAGTCCCACACATTTATTTAATAACTGCCTCCGGCTGTCACGTTGTTCAAAACCTTGGAAGGAAGCACAAATTTCAGCGCCTGCAAAACAAGTTTCTCCGCACCACTGAGAATTTTCCAAGGTGCACACCGGTCAGTGACTTGCGTACGGCTTTCAACTTTCCGTAAGCATATGATTATATAACAAAATTGTACAGGTAACAATTAGAAGTCATACATAATCTTGAGAATGATCATATTCTTGTATAGGACAAGGCGAAGCCATACATAGAAAATATAAGAGGCTTAAACTTGGAGGTTGTCAAGCTTAGACCGTTCAGGAGACTAAGCTGCCGTTGTAGAATAAGATACGTAAGATAAGCATGATCTGCTTTGCAAAGCCCGTACTGACAGAGGACTTGTGTACTCGTATAGTGCAAAAGAAAGAATTTTCAAACATGCTATAAGTGCAATGCGTAAAGTTGACGAAAGGCCAAATATATTCATAAGAGGCAAACCCATCTTCCTGTCAGGGAGGACTACTACCGCAAGGGTTCAGTTAGAAAAAAGTCTTTGTTCGTGAGTCTGAAGGAGCCTGACGCCAAGACGAATTGAATGGCCGTAAACCGCCAGTCGTAATGCAACTTTGACTTTGACTTTGACTTTGACCAGGTTGGGGCAGTCTCGAGTCTGAGATAGTAAAATTTGGTCATGAGTCCCGCGGGACTTGGACCCGAGAATGACTGCTCTGGCGAGGGCCAGCAACAATTTCATATAACCTCAAGTGCTCTGTTGGAAAAACACAGGTCATGGCTCTCAAGGAGCTTGGCTCCAAGACGAATTGATTGGCGGTAAACCTCCAGTCGTAAGTAACTCTGACTCCAAATCCGAGAATTGATTCGAGTTCCGAATTTCCAAGTGATCTGTTGTCAGAAGAACTGAAGGAGATGGCAGTCAAAGATGATTCAGAAGAAATGGCAAGAAAGGAATTATGCCGTGAAAAGAAGACTTCACGTGTGTTGCAGTTACATTGAGACGGGTATAAATACTGTGTTGAAATCCGTTGTCAGGACGACTGAGAACGCTAGTGTGTGTGTGTGTGTGTGTGTGTGTGTGTGTAACGGTAGACTGTAAATTGTAGAAATAGCGATAGTACTGTAATTGTCTGTAGTTACGAGTGATGTGTATAAGGTGTCAATAAATCCAATTCGTTCAATCCAAAACCCGTCTTATAAGTGACGCAAATCCCAACAGGTGACAGGCGATACGTTTGTGACTCACTTCCCTAGTGCGGTTTGGAAACGGGTCTGGTCAAGTGGGATTTTTTTGTGGACAGAGTGGCGCTGGGGCAGGTTTTCTCCGAGTACTTCGGTTTCCCCTGTTAATCTTCATTCCACCAAATTCTCCATCATCATAATCACCCGGGGCAGGGTGCAATAGGCCAATCAGTGGCCGCCGTGCAGAGTGGACCCAGTTGGACTCCACCCCCCACTAAGCGAATTAAAAAAAAAAGTGGATGTCGGAGTTAATTTCACCCCCTGGACGCTCTCCACTCGCGGACAGAGTTCCAGTACTCGCGTGCTGGGTCTGGAAGCAATGGCTGACAGAAAATCCCTTTAGATACATGGACATTGCCACAACATTTTCCAGGGGGGGGGGCAGGACATTTGCTTGTCAGTACTCTAGGAATACCTTCACAGATCGCCCTAGAGTTGTTCGTCTCTGCAGAATAAAAGAATATATAAAGAACATTTTTCAAATTTCGCATTAATATTTAGTATGTAAAGTAAAAAGTAAAGTAAATCTATCCTTGTAACAGGCCGTGAAGGCCCATAGAGTTGTGAGATGTTGAGGCTCCTACATTAGACAATCGGCTCAAAGATGGCGGTAAGGTTGTCAGCCTTACGCGCCGGCCGCGCTTTACTCCCCAGGAAAATTATTTAATTAATTCCCGGTACTCATTTCTGTTAGAGGCTGAGTAGACATCAGGGCTATAGTGCGGCCGGAAGGATTAGGTTAATTGAAAAAAATCCAATGACCTCATCGGAACTTGAACCCGCGACCTTCCGGCTTGTAGCATAGTGCCTCAACCAACTACGCTACCGCGTACCCCCGATATTTAATATGTTCCCTACATATTTTTAAATTACGACATACTTCTCAGAATCCAGGAAAAGGGAGAGAAGCCTAAATCCACTCCTTGGATACAAGATAAAAGAGACGGCATGGTTAAAAACTTCGACACGCACTCCTACAAACCTGATTTTTTTATTCATCATTTATTAGCAATCTGAATTTACATTCTATGAGCTAATTTGCTGTCATGTACAATAATTATTCTATTGTACTAAGTTGGCTTGAAGAGCTGTAATCCATCGATTACACCTCAGTTTTCCTGGAGATCGTTTGGCCAAATTCGTCTTAGTCTTCTGTATTGTGTAGGTTGAAGGAGAGCTTCTATTGCTTTGCTGGGGTGATATTCCAGTTTCTGATAATGTTTTTGGNTTGCATCATCAGAGTTTCAGAATTATTTGCTGAACTTCTAAAATTAAAGTACTTCTCGAGCTTCTGTTACGTCCGAAAGAGTTATTTCACATCGAGCGGTAAGATCACATCACACTACGAATAGAACTATTTTTTTTCAGAGAATCTAGTTATTCTGCGCTGGTAGCGCTCGTTATGCATAGCGATTACGAATTTTCTGCATGGTAGTCTGGGTGCTGTTAAGGCGGTTTAGCCGCCTGTGTTTTGAAAGTATAGATACTTTTATGATGAGCAGCTTTTTCTCAAGATGTGGAGCAAGGCACAATACAGTTCAATATGAATTTTATACTTTCAAACTTTTTAAGATGTTATGCTTCACTTTTATTCATTAAAAATACGTCTCATCTAGATTCACTAAACATTTCTTCTATAAATACGAAATTAGTGTAACTGAAAGGTTAGCGGTTTGGGAGGAATTCGTATCGCAATCCATAGCTGCCGCGCAGAGAGGAAGTTTTCGTGTGTGTTTACATCGGCTAGTTTAGTCATCTGTGGTTATGTGATAGGTGTTGGCGGGCTATACGTGCGCGAGTGTTAATATTTTTTTACTCGAACGTAAAAGATTCGTACAATAATTTAAAGAAGTTAAATACAAAGAAACTTCCGTGTATAAATAGTATTCTTCTGTGTCGTGTTGGTATGTTCATATTTCTGAAATGAGAAGTAATGCCGGCCATTTGAGTTAGGTTATGTTAGGTTATGTTAGATCCTTCGCGGTACATTTATTACACTGACAGTGAAATTCCTTTATGTAAAAATAATACTGTAGCAACAATGAATCAACATTTTCTATTTATGGGGCTTTATAAAGTTGCGTTAATCATGAAGAGTTCTATCTTCTTGGTTATAACGCCGTGTAGTCCGTTGAAAGTCAAGTGACGTTTCGAAATAACATGTCGCCTCCATCTTCAGGGCCGAAGAATGAGCCATGCAAGAAACCAGCATAAAGCTCAGCTTGCCACCTGCTTCACGGTGGTTTCCTTCATGGCTTATTTGACACACAAGATGGAGGTGGTAATGATGTTTATTTAACTTCAACAACTGTTACACAGGCACAATTGGACAAGTCAATTAAAAACAGCCAAACACTACATGTGAACAACTCTAAAAAATGTACAAGACAATATACAAACTAGTGAATAATATAGTTCCTCTTTGAGGAGTAACCCCTTGCTGTAGCTTACCAACCATGGATGACAACTCCCAGCAATTCAGTATAAAGCAATAAATACACTTAAATTACCAAAAACACAAGTCAGCCATGTTAAACAAAGCATCACACATTTAATGGAAATAACAATTCAAAGACCATCTATATACTTCCAAATCATATCAAGACTAACTCACGTTACCAATCTACCGTATATCATTGTTACTAAAAATTCTGAGGATAAAAACAGTTTTGTTATAAATAACTTTCTAATTTATTTTTAAAAACCTTAAAATTTTCTATTCATTTTAATTCAGAGGGTAAGTTTTTATGTATTTTTATTCACATGTTAATTACACTTTTTTTGACAATGAGCAGTGTTGCATAATTGGACATACAAATCCTTTTTCCCTTTTATGTTATACTTATGAATAGCGGAATATTGAGTCAAATAGATCTTATTCTTTTTTGTAAAGCACCAGATCTCAAATATATATACTGAAGTTACAGTTAACATCTTAAAATCACCAAATAGACTTCTACAAGACTCATTTAATAAGTCTTAGACCTTTCTTCTGTATTTTAAATACTGCATTACTGTCATTTACTTACATGTTCCTTTGAAACATTGGTTAACTCTAAATAGACGACAGAATATAGACCTCTTCATAACCGCTGCTGTGAGAACCTATAATTCTACATTGCATGAATCATTTGTAATTTCAGATCTCAACAATGTCTGGTTATGATGATAGATCTGCTTATCCAGAACATGGTGATGTCTACTGGGGTGACCAAGCCTCTCAGAGCTCTTATCGTTTTGATGTGCCTGACGACAATTTTGGACAGGAGCTGTAAGTTTCTGGAGCACACCTTTGTTTCTTAATTCCCTAAAGATGAGCAGCAGATGTGTGGCAGAACAGTGCTTGTTGTTTACTTCTGAATTTAGGCAGGTTTTTGTACCATCAAAAACTTATTGCTTCATACCAACTTACTTACTTACTTATTCATGGAGCTGAGCCCTTCTGGAGGAACTGCCAATTCTGCAGCTACTCAAGAATTTCCCAGCATTTTAAGGAACCCGAAGGTTCATTACCGTGTTTACAAGAGCCCTCCACTGGTCCCTATCCTGAGCCAGATCAATCCAATCCATACCATCCCATCCTATCTCTCTAAGATCCATTTTAATATTGTCCACCCACCTACTCCTTGGTCTTCCCAGTGGTCTCTTTCCCTTTGGCTTTCCCACCAATATCCTATATGCATTCCTTGTCTCCCCTATTCGTGCTACATTGATTTATACCAATATTACATAAAATTACTGCTTACATGATGTTATGTTATCTTTTATTAAAAGTGCTACATCCTTTGTTATTTTTTATCAGTTATTTAAAAATAGTAATACTGGATCCTTTTACACTGTGTGACTTAGAAACTATATTCATGTTTTTGTTTCCTGCATGTTTCAAGTTTTATAAAATGCGGCAAAATGGTAGTACATAAAGCAGTGATATGCATATGGGAGCACCATGTAGCATTTGTGTTAACGTGTAGAATAACTTTCAGTTGCATCACATGCAAAAGCAGCATTTTCTTAATTCTAGGAATTTCCAGTCCTTTGATGCCAGTCAACCAACTGAAGCTCCCTATGCAGGGGGCTCATTATATAGTGCTAACCCTTATTTGGACCCATCAGGGGGCCCTTCTGGTTATCATGGTGACATATTCTCTCCATCTGCACCTTCAGCTGACCAACCTGGGTTTGGAAATGATGGTACTTCAACTGACTTTGAGGATGAGCCACCGCTTCTGGAGGGTTAGTATGTAGAAAATTAAGTTCAGATCAGGGTGAAGTGTGTGTGGACCATCACTTGGCTTATGGTATACATCTAAGCTTTTGAAGGGGAAAGTTTGGTGTCTAAGGTATTTTCTCTTTCAGAGTTAGCCAGTTCTTGTGTATATGATTTGTTTCATTCTGGTCCAGCACACTAACAGTATTATAAAAAGATAAAACAGTTCCATCCAGTGTGACTTTTGGAGATTTATCCTATTTCAATTCTTCATGCCCTTGCATGTTTCTGTCCTCAGAGACCATCATCAGAGGGACATCGATACAGTTTGGAAACCACTACTAGAGTAGATGTTCCAAGTGTTAAAATATATATACACACAATGCTGACAGTACACAAATGGATACAAAATCTAAACTTTTCACAACACGTTGCACCACGAACAACCAAAGGACGACATCAAACTGTTGAGAATCTAGTAATGTAAAAATGTTCAAGTTGGTAATAGTGATCTATATTCATTTGTTTTTGTTTTGTATTGTAATAAAAGTTCTTCTTAGCCAGTATGGCTGTTAAGTGATATATAAGCACGACACAAAGAAAATCAACAGGCTATTGGGCCCAGATTTGCTCAAAAACTAAAAAGAGAGGGTGGGGGGGAAGGAGAAGACAAAAAAAAAAAACGAAAAATGGCAACCCCAGAGACAGAAGAAATAACGCATCTGCCAAAACTGAAGGATGCCGACTCATTTCCACTGTGGGATTCTGAAGCGTGCAAAAGAACTGATAGACATTGTTGATGGCAGCGACCTGTTAAGTGACCAAGGAAGAGACGAAGAAATGGAAGATGCGAGATGCAAAGTGCCAATACTACATAGTGAGATCGATCGAGAAACATGTGAAGACCCACATTGTGACATGCACAACCGTGAAAGAAATGTACGATGCCTTGAAGCAAATTTATCAGCAAGACCAGAAGTGCCTTCTGCTACAAGACTTCTACAACTTCAGGTATGACAAAACTAAAGATATGGTGATGAATATGTCATGTACAGAACATTGCCTTCAAGCTTCGTCAAATGAACCAAAACATTGATGAAAACATGATCATGACAAAAATAACAACAATTCTACCAGAAGACTACGAACACTTCAGCACCGCCTGGGACTCAACGGTGACCATGGACAGAACCCTTGACAACCTGGTGGCCAGATTGATGTTGGAAGAAGTGAAGTGCAAGATGACAACTAAAGAAGAGGAAAGAATAGCCTGTAAAACAGCAACTAAAACCAAAAGTAAAACCCCTTTCAAGTGTTTCAATTGTAATCAAATAGGTCATGCCCAGATCAACTGCCCCAACAAAGGTAAGAGAAATTGCTCTATCTGTAAAAGGAATAATCACTCTGAAAATGACTGTTACTTTAGAAATAAGGACAATTATACGAGAAAACAATGTACAGTATGTAAGAAAACAAACCATACTGAAAAGGACTGTTATTTTAAAGATAGGAATAAAAGAAGCAAGGTCAATTTTCTAGCTGAAGCAGCAGAAACCCACGTGAGTGATGCAAATGAAAATGACAAAATGTATGTAGTGGATAGTGGTAGCACATGTCATATGACGAATGTGAAGACTGATTTGGTACATACTAAGCATTATACTCAATGTATAAAGGTAGCAAAGAAAGATCAAAGTATGACTGCAAAAGAAATAGGCAATTTAGAACTTAAAGAGTGTAGTTTGAAAAATGTTTCATATGTTCCAGAACTCAGCAAAAACATGCTGTCAGTACACTGTTAGAAAATGATGGAGAAATGTTGTTTACAAAAGAGAAAGTCCAGATACTCAAGGACAAAAATGTTGTAATCGAAGGAAAAAAGGATGAAAACAGATTGTTCTTAATTAACTTTAGCACGAGGAATGAAGCTATGATGACTCAGCAAGATATAAGTGTAGAGTGGCATAGAAAGCTAGGTCACGTAGGTTATGCAAATCTTAGGAAACTACAAGAGATATGCCAAGGGATACCAGAAAGTGTGAGCAAGTGTAAATATTTTGATATATGTTCAGTTTGTATGCAGGCCAAATAAGTGAGACTCCCATATGATACAGAAAGAAGTAGGGCTGGAAAGCCATTAGAGATAATTCATAGTGATGTGTGTGTGGACCAATTGATCCCACCACTTATGACAATAAGAAATATTTCCTTACATGTGTAGATGATTATACACATTTTTGTAAGAAATACCTGTTAAAAATAAGAGTGAAGTGTATAACTTTCTGAAGGAATATGTAAATGAAGCTGACTGTCACTTCAATACAAGAGTGAGAAGAATAAGATGTGACAATGGAGGGGAATATAAGAACAACGCCTTGTGAGAATGGTGTAAGAACAAGGGGATTGTAATGGAAATAGTACATCATGTTTGCCACAGCTAAATGGCACTGCCGAAAGGATGAACCGTACCATTGTGGAAAAGGCAAGAGCATTGATTTTTGACTCAGGTTTAAGTAAGAGAATGTGGGGTGAAGCTGTACTCACTTCTGCATACCTGCCAAAGAGAAGTCCAACAGTGACAGTGAATGGAATGCCAGCGGAGAAATGGTATGGTAAAAGACCAGATCAGGCTTGATTGAAGATTTTTGGTTCAGAAGTGTACACTAAAATTCTCAGACCACTGAAAAAGTTGGACAGTCGTAGCAAGAAAGGAATATTCGTTGGATACAACACAAATGGCTGCAGAATATGGGATCCAAATACTGAAAGGACCTATGTCTCCAGAGACGTGACATTCACAAGTAAACCTGTGACAACAAACAAACAAAAGGAAATGGAAAGAGTGACGGATCCAGAAGACAAGCCAAATACTCCAGATCAGGAAGATAGCGAAATGCAGCAAGAACCCACAGCTGACAACAATGAAGAAGAACCAACAGATACTGAAGAGGATAATGCTGACCACAAGGATAATGGAAGGAAAAACAATGGACAAAACGAACATGGATATGCATTGAGACCAAGAAGAAACATTCAAATGCACCCAAAGTACCGAGACTATCACACAGAGAGTCAAAAGGATAGTATGCTCACCTATACATATGACAAGTGCATGGGTTAGTGAAGACAGCGAAAAGTGGAAGAAAGCCATTGAAGAGGAAAAGGATTCGCTCTACCAAAATAAAACTTGGATATATGTAAACAGAGAGAAAGCAATGAGCAAGAAAATTCTGACCAGTAAATGGGTTTTCAAAATAAAGGATGATGGAAGACACAAAGCCAGACTGATTATGCAGGGGATGTAAAGGATAGGAAGAGTGTAACGGGATATGTAATTATGATGTCAAGGGGCCCAATATCATGGTGATCTAGGAAACAGAGTATTGTTGCATTATCAACCACTGAGGCCGAATATATTGCAGCAGCTGAGTGCTGTAAAGGATTGAAATATCTAAAGACGTTGATAGAGGAGTTGACAGGAAAGAGGGTGGAAGCTGAACTGTGTGTCCACAATCAGAGTGCAATCAGGCTAATAGAATGTGGACAAGTAACGCATAGGAGTAAGCACATAGACGTTAGTTGTCACTTCATATGTGAAGAATTCAAAGGGAAACTCTTCTCAATCTAATATTGTAACACTGAAACTCAGATGGCAGACATTTTAACAAAACCGTTGTCATCAGAGAAATTTACCAAGTTTAGACACATTATACTTAAGAAGAAATAAGCCT